TGCCCAAATGTTTATCATTATTATTCCTTTATGTCATTAGATTTTGATGGTTTCAGTAGAAAATAATAATGGTAAATAGTTATGTTTACTTAGTATACGTCAATGTGTTGTGTGTGTGATGTGTTCATTGTACTTGATATTCTACACGTACGTGTATGCGTTATAGAGATATGTATGTGTGCACATTTTACCAATCTAAATAAAATATATATTGCGTGCAAGTATGAAACGAAATATTATTCTCCGAATGGCATCCATATCAGTTTTGTGTTTAAATGAATGCCACTAATATTATTGCTTCCTATATTATAACAACATTAATGGTAATGTTAGTGTATACTAAACATCAAGTGAATACTTTGTGGAGAAGCGGGTTATCAAGTGAGCGAATAGATAATCGATCGTTTAGTCAGAATTTGAGAGTAGGAAAAGTTCATTATAAAACCTATTTTTGACAGTTGTTTGACATTACTTAGACAGGTAAACATATATAATCTGTAGTTATATCTACGTTTGCGTGATTGTTAAGGATTTAGTAAGACGATTTAGTTTTTCTTCCTGCCCTCCTATTTACATTCCTTTTCTAAAATCTAAATATCATCAATTTTAATTCTGAGAAATGAATTGGGTTTTTTTTTCAACAGGAAGGGATAGATTAATTCTAGCGTTGAAATAATAATAAACTCAGTTATGTGATAGTATTGGTGTCTTAACATTTCCATTATCCCCTCTTAAAATTTGGATCCTCATAGTTGTAGAAAGAAATGAGAAAGAGTCATAAATTACACAACCAATACCCCACATTGAGTAACTCCCCTTCGTATCAGTCAGTAATTTGAATGATTGTAGTGGCTATGTTGATACTGTATTACTAAACATTGAAAGTTAGACTAAAAGGGGAAAGGAATGTTTATGGATCAAGATGACATGATGCAATCTTAAAAAGATTACATTTTTACAGTTTATCCTGCTATTTCATGTTTAAAACATAGAAATGTGGTGAGGGAGAGGGAAACGAGAGTTTACACATATTGATCATTTAACTCTCTTGACATTTTGACTTGAATTTGTCATAATTATCAAGCTTGATCATCTTATTGATGTCGTAAATAATGATAATGATAGTAATAGTAACAGAAAAAACAAACATCTAGTTGGTTATTATCAGTAAACATTTCTTGTGTTTGTTTCATTAACACGTGTTTTGATAATCTCTTAGGCGTACACATTTGCCTGCATGTATAGATGGGCCTTTTGATTTTCTATTATATATATAAAGCAGTCGTGTAATAGTATCCCAATCTAAGTGTACTTGTTTATTTAACACGTATTTCTCTGTTTGACATTGATGAATCTTAACGGCTGTAAAAACAAGTTCACCAAAGAATCACCCTCGTATCCATGCATGCATATAAAATATTCTTTTTTCATTTGCATATTATTCATCCGTTATCTGTTATCCTCCATAATCCCACTATATTTTTTCTTTTTGTATTTCACTGTCAAACTTACATTGATTTTGAAGAAACACCCTTTTTTGCTATCTAACATGTGAATTTACCTTATTCTTTCACACTTCCAATACATTGCGTTATTGTTGTTTTGCCTAAAACGTAGTAATTGGGTGTATTTATATAATACTAAATTTGGATGTATTAAAATATTTACAGAATGTTCTCAGAAAATTTGACAGGTTCTCTACCCTTTTTGAAAAGAAATGCATCTTTTGTTGTTACAGATTACATCTGTTTCAATACAACTTTAAAGGTGAATCTATATGTGTTCATGCATATATCATGTCATATTATGTCATAAATAGTTTAGTAATGCCCGACATGATGACCTTATCACTGTTATTACAAGCTGTTTAGCGAAATGAATGAAATAGGTTTACTTCATCAATTGAATAACATAACGCCTAAATCATGTCAAAAATCCTACTTAGTAGTATAATTATGATTATTACATTTATGATTTGAGATATTTTAATGAAATGATTCTCTTTTCACTTTAAGATTACATTTTCATTCCATTTTACACAACAACAATATTGAATAAATGTAGAGGAGTAGGTATTGTGGAGTGATGATGATGATGAAGATGATTTGATGATAGTTGTAAGTCATTGTAGAAAAAAGAATAGTAAGCGTTAATGTATAAGAAAGATGCACAAAATGGTGTATGGTGGATAAATGAATAGGTGATTAAAATACTAGTTGTATTTACAATTATAAACTTGTCAAACTTGTCAGAATAGTAAAATGTAACATCATTTTTTTGGTATGTTCTTCGTCTAAGATGAAAATGACAAAAAACTGTGATTTCACTTTAGATAATACTAATTTCACTTAATATTATTTATTTATTCAAGTTAGTAAAAGTATTTTTAATGAATTATACGTATACTACTAACAAAAAAGGTTGCTATTTTTACGTTTTACCAATCTTTTCCAGTCTTTATGTTGTTGCGACTATAAGGAAAACCTTATCAAACTGTGATTAGATTTTTTCCACGATTCCTGTGGTTAAAAATGGTTTAAAAGATAAATAGAGAGTCGGTATTTGATAGCCAATATATTTGAAGCATTATTCGTGTACAATTCAGTGGTCAGTATTGAGGTTTTGAGAAGATTATTAGATTTAAAGAAAAAAAAACTGTGAATATTCATAAGGCTAAATTGGCTGAAACATTCAATACGTTTACACAACAATCATTTGATAAATAATTTAACACTAGTTATGGTAAGATGAGACACAAAAAATGGCAAAAGAATTTAGAACGATACATAACATTTTTTCATGAAGTTATTAACTTTTGTTCGGAGTTATGCGTCGAATCATTGTCTATGTACGTATAATAACTTATTTTGAAGCTATTTTTTCATCACTGCTCACTTAATGGTCTACAAATGGTGGAACCTAGAATGTTTATATCTCATGTGATCTTCATCCATTTGTATTGTTTGGTAACTTTCATAGTTCTGATTTGATTAAATTCGCATGCTTTCTTTGGCTAACATCAGTTCATAGAAAAAATAACTCAAAGCATACGAAATAATTCTGAAAACCACCTATTCAAATGAGTAGAATTATAAATTGAACCAAATCATTTTGACCAAATATGATACTATGTAAGCGGACAACAGTCTGATTAAAAATGCATTATTATCAATGATTAATAGGTATATATTTTCGACTGTACAAGTTTTCGGTAAGCTATACTTACACTACATAATACATATGCTAGATAAGGTATTGTAAAGAATTCATAATTTTGCTTCATGTTCATGAAATTCAATGTCACTATGTGTATCTCTCTTTCTTCCCCAATTGGAACTGGTTTAATTTCTCTCTCATTAAAAATAACAATTGCTAGTCGTTTACGAAATTTCAATGAGGTTGTAAATGTTTACTGACTGAGACGGGTGGAACATACATGACGTAAGTCTAACAACAGCTTAACTTGACGAGCAATGATGCCCGGTATTTGAAATCTTCAGCCCCGTTATTCCTTTATAAACGCATTTTTATTGTCGTTACAAATCACATTTTTAATATATTTTTTTTCATTGTCATTGTGATTACACTATTTCTATTTCTCCACTACTCATCTTGTTGTTTTCATCTCATCATGCTGCCGTGGTAATATCAACGTCGCCTAATCCACATACATTCCAAACCGTACGTTGGTTGTGACTGACTAAAATCCCTATTCACACTCACATTTACAAGAAAGTCAAACGATTTGCAATCTATCCTATTGAAAAGTTTCAATTCTCCTCGAAACATGGCGTAATCCTTCTTCACAAATCCATGAAAAATAAATACACTAAGACAAATAACACCTTTTATAAACTTCTAAACAGAGTAAATGAGATTTATCGAATCCGATCCTAATGTTCAATATCGTTTCATGAATAAAGCAACTGTATGATATCTAGGTGAACTATGATTAGTTTGGTAGGATAACTGTTGTGTTTACAAACAGTTCAGCTATCCCAAGTTAACTACTTAATTATTTTTACTTGTACATTTAGTAATTTGATCACTGATTATGTAATGTTTAAGACTATAAGGAATAAGAACGAAATACATTGACAATTTATCAAGATCTTGAGCATATTCCTATTTACCATCATTAAAACAACTTTCTTTGTCAGTAGTAAGTTTAAATAAACGACATTTTCTTAGGGTCAAGTGATGTTGAAGCACACACACGAAGAATAGCATTCCAGTAATCTAATGAATAAATTTTTGATGCTTAATATTCACTACATTTTTTCTGCTATTGTAACAATGAGTTAGATATCTGCATTTGTTGTTGTTGTTATCTACTAAAAGTAATATATTATTTATCAATCAAATTATCTTAACACATAAATAATAACTACAGAACTACAATGTCCAATTCTATACAACATCATACATCTTCATGAGTAACAGATCTGCATTGTTCAATTTATAGCCTCTGGATTAAATGCTCAAGCTTTACACTACTTATGTCAATTTAGACAGTAAGGTATAAAATATAACTAAAATTAACCGTCATGAAACACTGGTTTCTGTGAATTGTGCTTGTTTTACGAATACCATCTCAACTGCTTTCATATCGATTATTATTTGCTGATGCTTGGACTAGGTGGAAGGGTAGATAATCAGTATATGGCACGGTACCGTGGTATGTAAAATAGCTTTATGAAAAAAACGTCCATTACGACTCTCTGACTGGAGTCCAAGAGGTATTCCAATCCGATGGCTTAAGATGTTATCAAATATTGTTCAGAATAAAAGCTATTAGCGATCTTATTGTATATTTTTGCTAACTTCATAAAAATTGAAGGAACTCCATAAGGTGAAAAACGTACTTCTTGGTTGCATTTTTAAGCGAACTGTGTCTCCCATTATGTGCTATTCTCGTTCACTTATGGAAATAACGATATGTTAAGTATTTATTCTGTTTTATTTCTCTATTTCTCTTGATTACATTTATGTCCAAATAGCACGGATAGATGGGTCAATAATTGAAGGACCTCATATTATCAATGAAACAGTTGAAGCCGGTCAAGATGCAATATTTCACTGTCAAGTCAATCCCGAAGAACATCGATCAAGTACTATCAGAGTAAGTTATGTTCTTATGTTCTCCTTTCTTCCTCTGTGTATACCTAATAAATTTATTTGTTAAAAGAAAGAAGATATTTTGAAATAACCGCATAAACTAAAGAAGATAATTGTTTGGCTGAGAATTTTCTAAAGATAAATTCAATTGGCAGAGAGTTTCTGTCGCGAATCGACATTACTTGGGAAGCCATTGAAAATGCAGTTAGAAATGGATAGCCGATTCATTTTAGTTTGCAGCTTCTGATTAGTTTACATTGACAACTCCATAAAAAATGAATCTGGGACGTTCAGGCCTCTGGACAAGCAAGTTATTTTTCAATGTTTTGGTCGAAATTCGGAGGTTACTCTATGCCATGAAATGACTGGAGCTGGATTTGTGAACTAGTAGATTCTAGTTCTCAATGGTCCTAAGTTGTTATTACTCTCCTCGAGATATCTATATCGTAGGTACAATCATGTAATATGAGACAATCTGTATGCACTACTGAGGAGAGTCCTAAACGAGGAAAACAGGTTTTCAGTACACCCTGACTTTCTATGAATCTGTAGCTCATGTCAGTCTTTGGTGAAAACTATTTTCAGATTATAATGTTGGCAACTCTGATTAAATGTGATTTTCTTCATAACATAGTTTATAAGACCAGGGAAATCTTAGAATTGAAAACGTCTGAATACTATATCGTCATGATTCGATGGGGTAAAGACATGTACAAACTGTACAATATCACTTTGTACGACTAGTTTTATGGTAAAGTTTAATAAAATCTAATGGCCAACTGATAAGTAGTTAACTCACTCATTTAATTACTTAGTATACTTAAATCTCATTATAACTGATATTCTTGGTATTAATTGGTTGATGTTTTCATTCCGGAATTTTGGATTAATGTGAATATTTGGTTTTAAAATGGGCCAATGTTGTTACCACGGTAACACCTTGCTGATAATATTTAAAAATAACAATAATAAAATTGATGAATAAACAAATAAGTTTTGATTGACAATTTATGCTAATACTTTACAAATATACATATATATAAATAGAGAGTTTATTTCTATTCATTATGTTACCAGTATTCTTATTACACGATACTACTTAGTGAGAGTTAGTAGAAACTGGTTCCACCAGAATGGAAAAACAATACAAAGTTAATAAGTGTTTTTGTGGTATTTATTATAAATAAATAAATAATCACTCAAACAATATAAGCATTTAAATTCTAGCTTATATTGATTGTAATGAAAGGGAGGAAATGGGTAGTAAAGATAAGAAAACGGACAGGATAAACAACCTCGAGATAACCTATTACTCTATTTATGATCAATTTAGTTATTCATCAGAAGTAAATAGTCCCACCTAATGAGTGAGTGTGTTCGTGTTTGTAACCTTGAGATGACTTATATTTTCCGCAAACATTAAACATTGATAAGAAGATATGAATATAGATTAACTGCAAAGTTTACTAATTCAACACAATAATTCGTCAAAAATGATATATTATGTAACAGAAATCTACTGGATAAGTTTGTATATCTCTTGTTCAGGTTAAAATAACTTAATCTTCAAGGAATATGTTCAATACCATCAGTTGATAGATTTTGTGTCCTTAAGAGTTGAATGACGTAACAAAGTGCTCACTTATAATTACATACAATCGCTTAGTGCTCATAGCTATGAGAAAAAGTGATTGTTGATCCTCACATTTGAAATCACGAGTCGATCTAATCTGTTGTTGAATAAATTAATATGATATTCAATTACATCATGGTTTAAAACTAATTAATAAATGTAGAAATTTATGAAGATTCTTTTTTTTCTCTCAATAAAGACTCAAGTAAGAATTGATAGTATTAACTTGTAGGTTAAGAAAAATTTAAACTATAACGAAATAATTTCAATAGTTGAGATCATGAATCAATTGAAGCTAGACCACCATGGAAAACCCGGAAGGACTGGATGGTGGTTTCGTCCTAATGTGGGACTCCTCAGTTTGTTAAGAAGAATGGATTGTTGAAGTTCTCCCATCTTCGAATGTTTTTCAGTAGTGATGTCCTACCTAAAAAATATTTATTCTTTTTTTAAACATCTTAGAAAAATATTTAATGGAAGTCTTATTTGGTATTATATTTTAGTATGACCAATATGAATTTTTTGACATACATAGTGATCATTTCATATCAAGTTAATTTTCATCATGGAATAGTTAGCTATTTTATGTCAGGGTTGAGTAAACAATAGTTTCATTCTATTTTCAGAAGTGAATAGACATGGTTACATTGGAGTATGAAATACAGGATCTTCAAATGCCACAGGAATAATCTCAACTCTTAGTAAATTCTGATTCTGGTCCCAGATATTTAATAGCTGACTATGAAAAATACATGCCTCATTTATTTTATTTGGGCCCTTTACATAAAATATTTTTTATCATCTTGAAACTTTTTTACTCAGTAGCTTAACCTATAAGTGAATAGTGTTGATATGGTATTGGTATTTACATATCATCAATATATAAACTCACAGTTGTACAGTATACATTTGGCCATCGTTGAAACATGCAAATAATTTATTTGTACATCATAATTATTAATTATTTATTATCTATATCTTTTTCTATAAACATTTTTAGTGGGGTAAAAGTATAGATATTAATGAACGTTTAGCTTATGAAGCCGAAGGAAGAGAAGTTATTCAATGGGCTGGTGGGACATTTGTTGTTCTTCCAAGTGTACCAACTTCATTAGCTTTAAATTATAATTCAAACATGCCATCAGACATTTTGTTTTCACCTAAACTATCAGCCCTGAGACCTTCATCTTCATCCTCTTCTGCATTATCACCATCATCATCTTCGTCATCATCATCATCATCAGTGGCAGCAGCACTACCTTCGGGTGCTGTAGCTACTGAAGTTTCATCAAGTCAAAGTAGTCAACTTGTATTAAGACAAGCTAGTCAATCAGATTCTGGACGATATGTGTGTTCTGTATTAACTGAAGCTGGACGAGATGATCATAAATTTGTTCAAATATCTGTAGTTGGTAGGTTTGATTTTTAAATCTGTTTTCTATTTGATAGTTTCTTTCTAAACTCCTATGTAATTCAGAATAAATCCCATTGTATTGAGAATTACGTAAAGGTATATTACAAAAAATTACTTAAACTAGATATTTGAATGCTTCTGAGGATGTCCCGATGGTTAGTACTTCCAGATTTTTCACTTTATAAGGGAACGTTTCTTACTAAAGATCATAAAGAATCTGCATCAATAATGATGGTCAAGATCGGAGAATGGTTATATACTTCAAGGGAATTATGCTTACGTCCAGTTCGCCAGTTTTAACTCTATACATTTTTCAACTCTGTCAGTACTAGAAATCTGTGGAGCGAAAAGATATGTACTTTTGGTACAATTGAATTTTCATATTCCTTCTTCCCATCCTCAAGAATGTGACATTACTTGAGATATTCGTTATCAATAGAAAACATCTTACTGTCTCCACCACCAGATGTAGTTAGTAATGCGACTTCATTTTTCAACTTTAAGTTTACTGTTCTTAGTTTCACCCCTCTCCATTCAGCGTATCTGCGATCAAAAGACTCAACGTACAGAAGTTTTAACTAATATAGCCAACTAAAAGTATCACAGTAAGAAAGCCTGATCACTTGTAAGAGAGAATATACTTCATCTAGGGATAGAAAACTTCTATTATAACATCAATAAACAAACTGGAAACGAATTACTTATTAGCCTGTACAGAAGTAAAATGATCCCGTATATTACAGCACATCACGTATATAAGCCGAAAATCATAGACAAATACAAGTGGGGGCACACCATAAACATAGGTAAATATTAAAGATTAGGAGAGAGTGTTCTAAAAACCTATTATTTTTTTGACCTTATAATACTGTATTATAAAGGATACGTAATGTGCATGAAATTACTTAGTGTAATAATAATTGAATGCATTAAATAAGCAATTTATAGACTATTCACAGAGATTACAACGTGTACGGAAATTCTAAACGGCAGTTTGCATCACGGAAGGACTATTGAGTAACAAACGGCACTTGACAGAACTAGTTTGAAACTCTTCATCGACGAACACTCACGGACCTACATAGGACTGAACCTAGAATTTTCTGGTCTCTCAGTAAACAAGCTACTTTTAGACCATTTGGCTAGAAACGGTGGTCCATATTCCCAACTTTAAGCATATTTTTATATGATCCTATCTTCATCAAGTATCACTGTCTCTTTCCTTTTACGGTCATCACTAATGTAATTTATCTGGTGAATGTAGCTTGTTTTTTTGCTTATTCTTTATACCAATCTTACTAGGATTAGTAACAGTTTCACTATTTTTTGGTTTTATTCTTACGAATTTCTATATTCTATGTCTTAATTATTGATAACAATATGCATAAATTATAGTAGATCTAAATGATTGACAAATTATTTAAACAATGTATGCACATTATTTATGTACGCGTAAAAAAGGAGGTTGATTTTTGCTGACTATACTGTTGGTGAGCTTGACTCGAAAACGGAGGTGGGTAAACTGTGACCTGTTGGGTGAATGTAACCTACCATCGAATTCCACCAAGTTGGCGAGATCATTCAGAAATATTTGTAAAGTAGCCAGAAGTATGAAAATTTTAAACTATTTTAGAAGAATAGGATATGATAGTAAAATATTGGGAAATTAGATTTGAGGAACTGAATGAACCACACTTATTTCCCATTTGTAAACAGAGAAACGATCCTAGTGGAATCTTTTTAGCAATGTTATCTCTGGGTTTAACCTCTAAATAGGGAATTTTTTAAAACGTTTTTAAGAACCCTAAACCATTAAATCACATAAAGATAGGAAATTATTATCTGTAGATAGAACTAATAGACCTGAAATCTGATAAGAGCCTGAATAGATAATTTAGATGAAATCATGAGTCGATTGGAGCTAGACCACCATGGGAAACCTGAAAGCACTGGACGGCCGTTTCGTCGTATCTCTCGATTAGATTTCTGAGTGTCTTGTTCTATTGTCAACCATTAATTGCCCTTCCGCTTCTCTTATTTTTTGCTTCTTCTACTACTACATATATATATATATATATATATATATATATATATATATATATATACGTTAATGTAGACACTGTTTTGTATTCTTAATTAATAGTAAACTATCTATTTAATATTTGTCTAATTATATTACTGGTAGGTAGGCTGAGAGGTAGTATTATTTGTAATTCTAAACTTTTGTTTTGTTAATCAGACAGCTAATTGATTATGATGATTGTTTTTGTCTCCTGACATCATCCTGTGTTTTACTGTGTGTATGTGTGTTCAAGTGGAAGCATAACCATCTGTCCACACCTGAATAATAACAACAAACACATTGTTGTCTTGATTGACATACATTATGTTTTGTTTTGTTGTTTGTCTGTTTGACCTATACATTTAATTTCACCTTGTGATAATAATATTCAGTTTCATGTATCCTCCAGGATTTCAGTTGTGCACATACATACAATAAATAGCATATGAATACTTGTGTATCAGTAATTAAAGTAGGGCTTGGTTGTCATTACTATTACTCTACGCCTTCACCTCCAGTTGTTCTTACGTTTTTACCTTAGTTGCATCTACTGTTTCACACCCATATTTATGCACAACTTCTGACTCATTAATGAAATGGTGTATGACAATCTAAATGAATACCACTTCAATTTTTTCGAAAAAAGACAACCAGCATTAACAAGAAAGAATACTTGATGAAATCGGACATGATTTTAATTAAATATAGGTTATTTGATTCGTTGTTGTTACTGTTATGGCAATGATAAATCTAGTTGCTGAGGCCTAAAATGATTCCAGATACACTAATACGTTTTTATTGTTAATTGGATTGAATGTGATTACATCTTAGGGAAGATGTTAAAGAAAGCAAACACTTTTAGAGGTGATATCTTGAAAATCTGAAATAACTTTAATTAGAGAGCATCATTTGGAAATTAAAAATAAAAAACATTCACAACTTGCAAACATTCATCCCTTATATTGAACACAATACTGTTAAATCAATGAGTTAAATATTCATTTAGGCTGTATAATCCCAAACTAAACTGTTTTAGAAACCATCTGAATGATATGAAAGTATCGTAGTTATACTATAAGTTTTAAAGGTTACTACCACTCCATGTCGTTTTATTTGCATCTTCCCATTGTTATTTAGAACTGAAATTGATTAGTCTATTGTTGGTATATGTGCATGATGTACGGTTTGCCTTGATATAGCATTAAGTCACAAGCATTCTAAGCAAAGATGGATAGTGGTTAGTAGTGGAATGAAGGACGCGCGTTCCATCCTATTTAGAACTTGTCAGCTGGATGAACCTGCATCCCAGAGTTGATGTTCACTCCGGGACTCGAACCCAGTACCGTTCACTTCAAACGCCATCGTGTTATCCACTTAGCTACTGAGTTCTGATAGCCACCTACTTGTGCAATCAAGTGAAGTTTAGATTGACTTAAATCTTTACTACTAATTTCGATCTTATAAATGAGATTGTTAATCTACATTGTTGAAAATTTTCAAACTGGAATGGAACAACTATCTAATACTATCTGATTTTCCATGGGAATTCATCAGATGAAATTAATTCATGATGATAATCAACTTCAATATTTCATCTTGTTGATATGTTTATCAAACTTTCCGTTTTATAAAGCATGTTCACAAGAAGGTATTCCGCTTCAGTAGTGATAATATTATTCAATGAATAATTAATCTGATATGAGAAACTGGGCTCGAACTCGCAACCTAAAACCGAAATTCGAGTATTTAAACTCACTGAACTACAACTGAGTTTTGACTCTGATATAGGGGGATAAAAAATGCAAACAAAATTACGTTGTTTACTCATTTTGATTCTTGTTCAACATTATTTTCATGTTCTTCACGTTGTGTGAATTGCAGCAGTTTCTCGCTTTTCAAGTATAAGTGACGCAGATATAACAGACTCAATGTGTCGCTTGATTTTTTTCTGTATTGGTATATGGTCATACTATAAAAAAGGTAGTTGGATTTGCTATATTATAAAATGAATCCAAATACTCTACAATGTATATTCCATCAGTTTCTTGCCTAATTCATTTATACTTAGATTTTTATCAGTTAATGCAAATTTAAACAATTTAGAGATCATTTTTTCATGAAGCTTTACAATTATAAATAGGAAATTATTATTGTATCCGAAGGGGTTTTGTGGACGTATCAGTCTCTCGCGCGAGCGCTTAACCATTAGACCACTGAGCCGGCCGACATTCAACGTGTTGATGTCTAACTTCAACTAATCCACGAAATTGAGCGACACATCCACCATTGTCTTGAGTGAGTTACTATCTCACAACTGACCAGGTTGAACTCCACTGGTCACTGCTTCTCACTAGAACTCCAGGAAATACTAGTCACTAGTGAGTATATGATGATTATTATCAGAGAGGGTTTTGTGGATATTATAGTAATTTTAGGAGTTGAGATCTTGAGTCAATTATTATTGTGTTATAATAGGTAGATTATTAAAGTCGATTTAATCCATGTTAGAGATTATGAATGAGCTATGTAAAGACCTTACAGAAAAGATAGAAAGTTAACAAATCTCATCAATAAAATCTCTTAAATAACAATGAAAACTTATTTTTACATCTACTTACCATATACTTAAACCTTCAGAAACTCATACTCCACGACTACATTAACCTATCCAAGGTTCACAAACAATGAGTTCCATCACTTTCAATTCTAGATATTGTTAAACTCACCATACCACTCAACAGTAAAGTGGTTGATCGAATTAGTAGAATCAATACACCGAAAATTAATGAATTACAGTGTTAAAGATGTAGTTGAATCTGTAGATATTGTGAAAATATCTGAATCTAACGAGAGGGGAAAAAAACTGTTACGTTTAAATATAACGTCTTTATCTATTAATATTCTATTGACAGAAATCATTGATTATATATGTGCACAACTTGTAGAAAAGAGGATAACGAGTGAGAATATAATTTATGGACGACCTTTGAGTGACATTAAGGTGACCTTGAAAGTGTTCACCTAATAACAAGGACCAAATAGGGTTATAAACCAGAGTGAGGAAGTAGAATTATGATTTGCAGTTGATGGTTACAGTTAGGAATTATGTTTAGAGTTTTCATCACGAACTGACATCAGTTATAATGCCAAAACTCTATTTAGCCAAATGGATGAATGAATTTCGTTCCAAAATCTGAGACTTGTTATCTTATACCTGATTGGTTCGTCCATCAATTATAGTCTCGCCGAATAATGTTACCTATATCGATAGTTAATGTTGAGGAATTTCCACTTTTAATGTACAATAAATATTCATTTTACGTCTAACAATAAACTCTACAGAAGAATAGATGAAGTAGCAATGGTATCTCCCTTAGGTTCGACTATCGTTGATATTCTTCTAGGTAAACTGAGAAACGATCTATTATATAATGCTCTTAATAGGCTAGAATACTACTGCCGTTTCGTAGATGACACATTAAGACGATCGACCGACTAGAACCCTTAGAAACATTTAATAATGTACATCCGTTGATTAATTTCAAATGTAAGGAAGAATGTGATAATAAGTTAGCATTTCTTGACATCTGATCGTTCGATAGAAACGAATATATTTAGAAGAGAAACTTAGAGCACTATATCCACTTCTATAGCTTCACAGCCCTCCATCATAAAATTAATATAGTCAAATGTCTGAGTCACAGAATCTGACAAATATGCTCTGAAGATATTATAAAATAATAAGCAGATTTGTTAAAACAACTTTTAATACTGCTAAATTACACATAACTTTTTCAACGAAGCCAAATTAAGGATAAAATACCAGTGATGGGTTCATCTTTGTATGTTTATCAATTTAACTATTCTTCAAGATATTGGTATACTGGCCGTACTCAAACATCCTTGTCCTTAGGCGCTCGTGGACTTGTACGGACATAGTTTGAAAAAGGCGTTGAGAAATCCATAATGAGTGTCATTCTTTTCCACTTAATTGATTACTGATATAACATTAAACTTGAACATCCCTTCTCAGTAATATATCATGTTCCTAGTAATCTATCAGATGACGTAATATTATGCTTACTCTATATAGTTGAAGTAAATGGCATCAACTCGAAGAAACCCAACGTATGTATCCGAAAAAGATACATCTAACCTCTTTGGTTACGTTAGTTCACATTAGAGTCGTTTTGTTCTTAGTTCCAATCACCTTCATTAGAATTTGTACTCCCTTCTAAGATATTTTTTCTTATGTTTACTGATAAATTCATCTTTTTTTATTTCACATGATATTCCTATTAATAATCGTTTTTTTTTTTACATACGATGTTAACTTATTGATGAGGACCTATGGCCTTAAGGCATATAATTCTTCTCAGATTTATTTTTTGTTTGTTTGACCTTTTCTTAACATTACCAATGATGTTATTTTGTTTCGTTAGTAGTTTGTACAATTTAAGGCTCCATTGGCGTGAAGTTTATCATTTCCAATTTATAGTATGGATTAATTCAATTTTTATATTTTAGCTTTTGTAACATGAAATTGATTATTTCGGATTTATGGCTGTAGATCCTGGTGAAGAAATTATCAAAAACCATTTATCACTCTGATACTCTTTGTTCTTAAATATTTTATGTGAAATTTGAAAGAACTTATGGATATTCTATACAGTTGGTCATGTTCATCTAGACCTTTCTTTTGCTCATCAAATTCTGTTAAACAAGTCCCAACGTGAGCATAAGTTGAAGTGACTCGACATCGTGTGCAAAATGTTGAAATGTTATGTAGTTGTAGGGAGTCAATAGGAAATCCTGTATTAACCTGAGTTTCAGGCGTTTTAACATTTACTATAAAGTAATCCGTGGAATTTGTTTGGTTCGAATTTGAAACTCCATCGCAGTGCAAACAACGTTGAATTTCAACTCTGACTGAATAGTACAATTGGCTCATTATGAAATCTAAATGTTTTTATGTCCATTAAAGAGTTTATTATCAATTCGGTTATTGAAGAGCCTGAAGAGTCAAAGACATAATCTTTTGTCAGCGCTTCTCAGTTTCCAGTAGTTTTTTCAACGGACGTTATCATTCTGTGATGATATTATTCATTGTTCACCTTAATTTAAATGACTTATTGATATGTGTTTAATTCTACCCTGTTGTTCACGTCCTAATTTAGTTTTTGTAATTATTTATCATTTTAGGCGGTTCCTTAATTCAAGGTCATAAATTGACTGGAAGCAGTGGAACACATCGATTAACTTTATACATTGCTATACCGACTACTATATTTTTCATATGCTTGTGTGTGGTAACATACTGTTTGATCAGTCGACGTACAGCTCATAATCGACGTGCATCTAATGTTAGACATCAGCGTAATTATTTTAATGCTGTACAACAATCCCAAATTAAATCATCTTCAGTGGCAAGCAGTAGTTCAATTGGTGTATGTCGTAATGGTGGTATAAATGGTCATACTACAATCACCAGTGATAATCGTTTAAGACCATCTCCAGCCGGTACAGCATTAGGTACTACATCAATAGGTTATTCATCAGTTAATGGTACCAATTCCATGAATAGTTGTAATAATAATAATGGTCCAATTAATACACAATTATCAACTCCAAATTTTCAAGTTAATTTACACGGTACTGTACCAATGATACCAGGTCGTTATCCTGTTTTAATTCAATCCATTGGCGGTAGTCAACAACCAGTATCGTCATCATTTTATTCTGTCCCAGAGGCTAGGTCATTATCAACGTATGGTCAAAATGTATCACCTGTTACAACTGGAAATAATTCGGAATTTATTATGGGCAATATGAATACAACTACAACGAACAATAGTAATAGTATAGCTTGTTATCCGAACGGTTTAATTTATCCTATACAAAGTGGTCATATTATCAACTCAAATGCTTCAAATCTTGCATCAAATCCAATGTTCGGCTCATCACCGGAGTCTTCCGTTTCTGGAATAAATAGTAATAATAATAATAGTAAAATTGAACCGGTTGAAGGTAGATTAATGTTTCGTCCGCAACCAGCATTAATTAACAATTACAATTTAAATAGTAATACAGCGAATAGTAGCAGTAATAATAATAGTGATACAATTAGACGTTTTGGTCAATCCACTGGAATTAATACCTCAAATTATGAAATGACTATCACTAATACACCATCAGCATTATCATCTTATTCAAATCATGTTAATACATAATATTTCTCTCTCTCTCTCTATTTCTATGTATATTTCTCTATTTGTTTATATGTACGTATGAATTGTTTATGTAATTTCAGTTTTCAATCATAAACAAAGTAATCACAGTAGAACGATAAACCATGATAGGAAACAGGGTATTTAACAGGTTTCTTTCTTTCGCACTCTCTCTTTCACTCACTCCCCATTCATGTTTATCGTTTATTTTAAAAGAAATCTTTCTATGTATATATTTATCTTGTTATTAAATAAAGAACTCATATATATATATATTATTGATGTGAGGAGTGGGAAAGAATGTTGTTTGCCTACTTGTCTCTCACTCTCTCCTTTTAATTTTATTGTGCAAGTATATGTTTGTCAGTAGTTTCTGGGGTTTTATTAAAAAGGTTTACGTATCCTTGTCAAAACACCTGATCAAATTTCATCATATAGAATTCTACGATAGTATCACCATCAATTTAAGAACATAACAAAAAATCAACAAGAATAAGATGAAAAGACAATAAACAAGATGGTCATCTCTATTGATGATAATCCCACATATACAAACGCATTTGTCATTGATAGAAAATATATTATTTCGATTCTCCCAGTGTCTTTCTTGTTTTAGGAAAAACCATACCATAATAATAATAATAATAATAATATTTACTATTGATAACAGACAATATTATATTTGTACTTTCACTTAAAATTCTTCTTTTTTCCACCTTTATTATCGTTACATGATTATTGTAACCTTCCCATTCCCCCCTCTCAACAAATACTTGAAAACAACAAAACATAGTCATGGTTAGTTGTTTTGTACAAAATGATGGAATTATTTATGATTAGGGATGATGGATAAATATTGTTGGTTCGATTTGGGTTTTATTTTATGTATGTATAAAGTGTAATGATGACATTACATAATAAGCGTGACATAAATTTTAAACTTTTTCTCTTTATTCTTTTTCTTCTAGTCAACCAACATTTTTTCGGATCAAACTTTTTAAATGAATGAGGAGGCAAATATAGTTTGTTTTTTTTTTATTAAAAAAAGGAACCATGTCACAATTTGTTCGTTTGTTTATCTGTAAACATCATCATTTTGTTTAGAATTAGGTCATTTAGTCTGTATAACATTTCTTATCAGCTGGGTGTTTTGTTGTTTTTTTTTTCGTTGCATATTTATATGATTTTATTTTTTAATGATTGCAAAATATACTACTTGTATGAAATACATGATTGAATGAAGCTTGATATCATCTACATAAATCATATTTATCTATGTATATGTTTATCGTTGACAGTTGACACCTCACTTCTTCACAGTCATGATATATATACACGAACTCTTTATACATTAAAAACAACAGCTCTAACCAATTATACAGATCATTTCAATTTGAATTCTCTCTCTCTCTCTCTCTCTCTCTCTCTCTATATATATATATATATATATATATATATATATATATATATATATATATATATATATTCAATTATGTAATGATGATATTCTAATTTGCTCATCTCTTAATAGCAGTAAATTCAAAGTTATATACATATATAATTTAAACTTATTACATAACCATAATACGCGCACAGTGTTCAATCATGCATTGTCATGTGCATGATAATTATGTTTCGTTTAAACATTATGATTATTATTATTATTATTATTTGGTTTTGTATTTAAAAAACAAACAAACGCTAAAGACATTCATCGGTTGAAACAGGGTATTTGTAAATGTATTTGCCAAATCTATCTATATTAACATATTCAAGTCTAAAAATCTCTACATTATTGAATTCTCCAGTGAATTAATCTACGTTTGTTTTATGTAATCACAAAGTGTACTAGTATTATTATTATTATTACTACTACTACTACTACCATTACTTGTTTTAAATAATATATTTTATTTGAAGAAAATTCGGTTTCGTTTGTTGTATTGATTATCCTATACCATTTGTCGTGTATTGGCATGATAGTTAACTAACCACCAATAGAAAATGATATTTTTCAAGAAAACTAAGGTGGAATATGACTATTGTATTATTAAGAGTATCCTCAAAAGATCTATTTCTGTTTAGTAGTATTGTGGTGTGAGCTACTTACATCCATACAGGAATAGAATATATTTCAGTAGAAGATCAAGCAGAAAAAACGGGAAAGGAAAGCAGTTGGTATGAAAATGCAGGAACATTGAAATCTGAGACAATGGACTGATATTTGCAAAAGAATAATGAAGTTTGAAATAATTGATTGATATTTTGCAAACAAACTAATTACTATATGGTTCTCAGATTTTAGTAGGATGTTCTGTAATTTGAAGCTCAAATACATTCGATTGCCCAACTCGTGTTCTTGTTCACTACAGTATTATCTAAACATAACTTTAAATCTACTCTGTTCAACGAATAAATAAACGGGAATCCCTGGAGGTGTCTTAGGAAAAAGTTTGAGAATATCAGTTTTACTCCTTATAAATTACCCCCAATTTGTGACAAAATACTAGTGTATATACATAGTGAACGAACTAATCACTTTGTTCGTGAAACTTATTCCCCGTTTTATATATGAATCAAAAACCACTGGTCAACTGACTGAGTATAAGGATATTAAAATTGGAGAGTTATTTAAATACAAGGTATTCAGTATAGTATGACTGAATGAATGATTAACCAATATTTAAAACCAAGACCACATACTGAATAATTCTCCCTCGTACTTCTGCCTGTCGTCAAAGTTTCTTGATGTGAACAAGAACACCCATCAGCTCATTTTTCCAACTTATCTTGGTTAGGTTCTTATTTCTGGACGGATTTATTTTCACCTTTCTCAGAACAACTTGGACATATACAGATCATCACTTAAATGTACCCTACTTTTACCTCTATCATTTCATGCTTTAAAATGAGTCAAAATCTAAAGATTTTTTTTCATTAAGATTGTATACGAGATCACTTCTTTGATGTTAAGTGGTTTGAAACAATTCACAGGAAAACCGCTAGTTAGATTTTGTGCTTTTTGCCTATTCGTGTCTAAAATATCGAGGGAAATGATGGCCTATGTGAACCATAAATGCGTGTGATTCAGTTTTACAGTCTGAACCCTTATCACTGAGGTACTTAGTGACCCTGTATCTGACTTCAAGTCGATCTTATGATTGAATGTTATCGAAATATACATGTTGTTAATCCTCATATATATTCATCGGCTTAGCTTGCGTTAGTGAATAACGGAATAAAATAAGTCAAATACGAGAATGGATTTTTGAATACGTATATTTTGTGAACTCATTGATCTGGACGAAGCGACGAGAAGAGAGTGAAGCGAAATGGCACGCAGTGGAGGCCTGTGAACGAACTCGATTTAATTAAATGTTAATCGATATTTGTAGTCACATAAAAATAAGTTACCGATATGTGATGAATAGGATAGGAAGTGCACACACATACACTCATATAAAAACAGTCAAGGTTGATAAGCGAATAATTGACAAGGTCAAGATGTGGTTTAGGAAGAATGAATAAATTGGTCTGTACGAAAGCTAGAATAAGCTGTATGGGTTTAACATAGCAACCGACACTACAGGCGTTTTAACCGTACACAAGATGCTATTATGTCTGGCTAAAGACGTACCAAACTTTGTCAAAATAAATAATTAACACTATCTTTCATAAACTTTTCAATATTTTGTATCTGCGACTTAATATCTCCGTTGCTAGGTTCGCAAAAGAAGAGTATCAGAAAATATCAAAGACTTGATTTGAAAATTAGATTCTAGAAAGTGAGCGTACATCAATTTTTGGTGTTAATAGACTGACCAATCAAAAGATGAAATGATGAATTTTCACCGTCTCTGTTTTAATTATTGTTTGCGACGTACGACGAATCGATAGTTTGTAACTATCTCCATATCATGAAGTTCTATGAGAACGGACAGCTTACGGATGTTATTCAAGTGAAACGATGGTTAAAATCTGTTTTCTAGTTCAATGGTTAAAAAGTTTTCTTATTTGAACACACCGATTCCTCACCTAATCATAATGGTAATCAATTGAGTAGTAGGACGGTCATATGGCGAAAACCGATTGTCCAAACGAGCTTCTAACTGAAAAGAGAATCAAGAAAAGACGTTGGGAGTGGATGGGACACTACGGAAATCACCGAAGCGAATCACGAGGCAATCCCTAACTTGGAATCCTGAAAAGAATCAGAAAAGAGGAAGGCCAAAGAATACATTGCGTCGGGACATATAAGAAGATATGAAAAGGATGAATAATAACTAGAAAGAGTTGGAAAGGATTGCCCAGGGTAGGGTTGGATGGAGAGTGCTGGTGGGCGGCCTATCAGTCAGTCTTGAGTGCTGTTAGAGGTATGAGGGTGTTTATCACTTCCCGCTTGCTCACACCGTGGAAGAGTTCTTCTGGAGGTATCTGAAAAGGAAATTGGGTTAGAATTGGTCTTAGTGACCTGAGAGCGTGACCGCAGTGTCCAAGGGACAACTGCTTGAGGTTGGTCACACACGACCATTTTGTGAGTAATTTTCGTGTTAGCTCGTTGAGGCCTTACCGCTGGAGACAGATATCCGTGGGATAAGGAAACGTGTGCATATATATCTACATCAATATGACTTCCTAATACTTAATTTTAATTCTAGTTAAACATTAATAGATATGTATATATGTATATTTATAAATTTATAATATTTGTTCATAATATATCTCTTTAAAAGCCTAGTCATGTTTAAATATCATGGTCTTTATTAGTTAACATGTATTCATTTACGATAGTTGTTGATTCAATTAAATGAACAGACGTTCATACCTACAATTTCTTCTTGTTAAAATTTATTGTGAATATGATTTTTTGTTGTTATTGTTGTTATTGTTGTTGTTGTTGTTGTTGTTGTTGTTGTTCTTTCAACTATTATCTCTATGAATATTTGTATAGTGAAATTATTAGACGAAAAGATAATGAATTTTTGTAAACATTTCTCTTGTTT